GAATTCTGAGCACAGGATGTTTTATAACAAGAAATTAATTCAAAAATTTAAAAAAGAAATGTTTCAGGATGTGGTGAAGAGACTTTCCAAGGCAGCCACTTCGGCAAATGATGGTGTGGAGATCTTCATCTGCTCCTAATCCTGGTATAATTGTAATGGGATTTTGAAGAGGAAATATAGGAATCATCTGGGAAGCCTTGGAAGAAATTTCAGCATTAAGATTATTACTCGCACCTCTCCTTAGCTTCCCAATGGCACAAATAGCATTTCTTAATGGCCTCTGAGATCATGGGTTTCAGGCCTAATCCAAGTTCATCTATGTATCTATCTTGCTAATTTCCTCCTAACCTCTAACCATTCTCTTTTATTTTACAGCTGTTCCTTAAAAGGTACAAGTGAAGTGTTACTTCCATAGAGGGGCCCATAATAACATGCCATTGAAATTATCCATAAGGAGCTCATAGAATTTTGAATTGTGCTCTTTTCCTTCAGAATTCTATAAGCTATTATGCAGTTTTGTAAATATATGTATTACAAGGAAGTAGTTTTGCATTTCACTGGGTAGGAGATGACATCATGTTTCAGGAAAGAAGAAAAAGGACAAAGAGAAAACTATGTGGGAACAAAAGCATTCAAAGTGTGCATGTTTCTATGGAAGTTTACAAACAGGCTCAATGGAGATGATCACAGGGCAGTGAGAAGCAGGACTGGCTTCACCTGGAGATAAATGTTGAGGGGAGGTCAGCAGAATATAAACAACTGGGTGTATATGTCATTACCTATCAAAGGCAACTGAGAAAATCAAGGGAGCAAGTTTACTTCATGCCGTAGTGAGGCAAAGAATATAAAACACAAAGAAAGGTAAAGAAATGAGACAAAAGAAAAATAAAAAGAAATTCTCCGTAAGTGGCCATGATTAAGATATTTGAAAACTCCATTGGTAGACAAATGACATTATCTGGGGTAAACTTGCTAGTTTACTGACTAGGTCCTTCTCTAGGAAGGAAAGATTTCTCCAGATTCAGCGATTTGAAAGGTGGTTGGAAATCATCAACCGTCTTCAAGAATTTCTTTAGCAGAAGAAAAAAGACTCACCCCAAGTTACACCTCCTCACAGGATAAGATTGTTTTCCTATTCACAGGTCAGTGTGAGAAGACAAACTCAATCCTCATCTCTCCTAAAGAAAAAATGTCTATCCTATCCAGTACCACAGTTTCCTATAGGGTCACATAATACCATTGATAGGCATCAACTGAAAGCCAGCCAGCTTTTCCCTAATTCTTTCTCTTTTTTATGCAATAAAAATCCCCAATATTCACTGATCTCTTTCAAAACACAGTTTGGACCACAGTAAAATTATTATGCCTTCTGCACTGAAACATTTTATGAATAAACAGTAGACATTACATTTCAGTTGCCACTTATAGGACCTGGCATTTTAGGTAAACACCAGTAATGGAATTAAAAACTAAGAGCATTTGCATTGCAGATATCAGGAGTGGTGAACATGGAGGAGAAGAGAAAGAGGAATTTGTAAGTCCAGGTTCTCTGAAGGAACAGAACTGATAGAATGAAATGGATTAATAGACTGCCTTATGGTATGTGGATGTGAATATTCAACAACTATCACACAGGAGAGTTTGAGAACACTGACATTTCAAGCCTAAAAGTCTGGATGTCTCTGCAGTCCCAGTCTGATGCTGAAGGCCTGGAGGATTTCTGCAGAACTCCTGATATTCAGTTTATTTTGGAACCCTGAAAAGTTTATTCTAATGTCAATAGAGGAATGCTACAGCTATGAATAGAAGAATGTACCAGCAAGAGTATGTGAAAGACGACAAAAAGCAAAGCTCCCTACTCCCCTGGCCTCTTATCTGGGCTGCTGTCATGTGATGGCACACAGACTTCAGGTAGATCTACCTTCTTCAGATAATTTGATCAAGGATACTCACCCACAAAACTGCTAAATAACTTGTGTTTTAGTTGAGCCCAAATGCAGTCAAGTTGGTAATCAAGGTTAGCCATCACAGGGAGTTTTAAGCCAGGAAAAAGAGAGGGAGACAAGAGGAAGGGAGTGGAGGACATGGGGGAGCAGGAAAGTTGAGTTGGGGGAAGAACAGAGGAGACCAGGATGAGAGATACCATAATAGAGGGAGCCATTCTAGGCTTGAGGGGAGATCTGGCACTAGTGAGAACTCCAGAGATGTACAAGGATGACACCAACTGGCAAACTAAGCAGTAGTGGAGAGACTACTTTAAATACCCCTCCCTAATAATGATTGTAACAACTATCTTATATACCATCCTAGAACCTCCATCCAGTGACAGATGGAAGCAGAGGCAGACACCCACAGCTAAACATGGAACTGAACTCCTGGAACCCAGTGACAGAGAGGGAGGAGTGATGAGCAAAGGGGTCAAGACTGGGGAATGGAGTGGGGATTGGGTGGGGGGATGAGGGGCTGTGGGGAGGGAGTGGGAGTGTAGGGGAGGGTGAGGGCACTGGGACTGACATGAGAAGCAAGCTTGTTTCTAATTTAAATATATAATAAAAGTGTAAAAAAGAATTATTGCTTGGAGATATTTACAATGATCAATGAAAACTTTTCTCAGAGATGCAAACATGCCTCAACATATACAAATCTTAAATACACTACACTGGTAAATGAAACACAAAAAGTATATAACCACCTCAATTGATTTGATAAAGTTCAGCATCCTTCTCTGATTACAATAAACAGCAAATAGAAGGACTATTTCCAACACACAAAGGCATGTGTATCAAACCCACAGTTAACGTGTCTCAAACAGTGGCAGTGGGACACTTTTCTTCCAGGTTTAGCAATAGGATAACAGGAAGCTTACTGTTACCATGGTATTCAAGACAATACCAGAAGTACTAGCTCCAAGAGAATGAAAAAGCATACAAATTTCTATTTTTTTGCAGGTAACATGATTTTATCATTAAGGAAACAACTTCATAGCTGTAAAAATAAAATAAAATTTGTTCAGCCATTATGGAAAAAAAGTATGAAGGTTTCTCACAAAACAAAAGTAGTAGTTCCACTCTGCACTGGTCCCTCTATGAGGTACCTCATATCTAAATAAAACTGAATTAGTAAGTGTAAGAAATACCTGCATTCCCATGTTCATTGAGCACTATGCACTACAACCAAGATGAAGAATTGACCTAAACACTTATCAGTAGGATAAAGATACACAAGGAAAAGTATTTCTCTTCATAAAAGAAAAGACATCCTATTATTGGGGATGGATGAGGGAGCTGGAGGTCAGGATATTATGTGAAAGAAACAAAGCCCAGACAAGAGGCTCACACATGATCTCATCTATTTCCACAGTGTATAAGTGTCTTATTCATAGAAGCAGAAATGCTAGCCAAAGGAAAGAGCTAGAAAACTGTTTGTCAAAGAACATAAAACTTCATTTAAATAGGATAAATATGACCAAGTTATTTTGTCTACAATTTGATGACTATAGTTGCAATGATTGTACTTTGAAAAATCACTGAGAACACACCATAAGTTATTACAGAACAGGTAAGCATGTGAGATAATTAATATATTATTTAGTTTAACTGAGCTATTCCACAATGTGCAGATACCAAAACATTTTATACACTAAATATGCATATTTTTGTTATTAGAAAAATTCATTCTAAATTGGAGGTCTTCATCAAATTCCCCCGCCCTCAGGGCTCAGGAAATCCTGTGGAAGATGAGGCAGGAAGATTGGAAGAGCACAGGGGAAGGAAGACACCAGGAGAACATGGCCCTCTGAATCAACTAAGCAGAGTGCATGTGAGTTCACAGAGTCTGAAGCATCAAGGACAGGTCCTACATGACTTATACCAGGTCCTCTATGTATTGTAGCTATTAGCTTAGTATTTTTATAGTCTGCTGATATGAGAAGGAGTGGGTCTCTGACTCTATTGCCTGCTTTGGGGTCTCTTCCTTCTGTTGAGTTGCCACATGAATCTTTGAAATTGAAGTTTTTACTTCATCTTATGATACAATATTTTGTCATGTTTGGCTGTTAATTCTTAAACTCCTGTTCTTCTCTAATGAGAGACAGAAAGCAAGTGGATCTAGAGTAGAGGAGAGGGAAGTGAAAGGGAGATATGGAGGAATTGGGAGGAGAACAGGGAAGGGAAATTATGACCAGGATATATAGCATGAGAGGAGAATCTATTTTCAATAAAAAGGAAAATTGAAGTACATTAAATTTAAAAAATAAAACTCATTTTAAAAGTAATTAAATGACACACTGACGGCTTGAGATATGGGAACTGTCGTTTATTTGCATGAATTCTTTTAAACAGAACATAGGTTGGGAAACACATTACAAATTTCAAAGGAGACTGAATGGGTTTTAATCCACTCTCCCCAGTACATCTAATCAAGTTCCTCCCTTGCAACAAGAAAACTGTGACCACAGCCCATTTGCTTAGTGAATAAGTTTTATGTTTGTTGCTTTCCTTGCTTGCTTATTTGCTGCATATACCTGTAGAGTGAAACTAAGAGGAACTTTATGGGTGTGTTTATTGGCCTAATCTCTCTGAGGTACTTCATTAACATATAATAGTCAGAAACTATCAGTTCTACCGCCATTACTTTCTGGCATGAACTCCACATCCCAGGTCCAGATCTTAGAAATTACAGATAGCATGGTGAGAATTATAAGTGGTCTTTTAAACTGATAAAAGGTAAAGATGCTAGCTAACTCTGGGGATGTTGTCTTACTCAGTCAGAAGACTCACAAGTACACCAAAGGACACCAAGCTTTTAAACTTCTTTACAAACCAAGACTTGTGCTTCAGAGGTTGGAGTCATTTAGAGCAATGGGAGATACATTTTTTTAAAACATTAGTCTTAACCAGGGAAGAGCATACCAATTAGTTATGCAATACCAAATGATCAGCTTTGAAAACATACAAACAAGTAACATTATATCTAGGAACACACACACACACACATACACACATATATATATGCATATTATATGCATTTAACAATAATTAATGAAAAATAGGCCATAAAATTGAAAGAGAACAAGAAGGGCTATGTGGGAGTTATAAAAAGAGGAACAAGAGAAATAATCTAGTTATATTGTAATCTCAAAACAAAAATGGAAGCAACAATATATCTAGGAATAAACAAAACCAAGGATGTGAAAGATTTCTCCAATGAGAAATGTTGAAATAGACACTAGACGATGGAAAAACCGTCCTCACACACAGATTCACAGGATCAATGTTGTGGCATCATTAAGCCCTGAAATATAGGAAGAACACCAAGGACAACAACAGTGAGTTCTTGGTATTACATTTTAGCAGCCAAACAAAGGGAAGCAAGAAGCAACACATCATGAAGTTCTCTCTGTCAGGGAGTGATGCTATCCGCAATGTGTGACACATAGCAGCCATCGGCCTTGTCCTTGCCAGCTTTGTCCCCTTGAGATCACAGCTCTGGTAGACAAACAGGAAAGATTCCTTTTACTGACAGTTGTGGCCCTGTGGGAGGGGCAGTCAGAACTTTGTTTTAGTAATTTATTTAGTCCTAGATAGGATTTAATGAATATTTTAAAGGAATGGCTATGTATTTGAGTGGGGTTTTGGAGAGGGCTGACCTATTTTGTCTTAAATTTCAGACTTAACATTGGTTCCTTCAGGGAATGCTCTAGCTGGCTCATTGTCTGGAGTAACGCTCTCTCTCTGGAGTTCTGTGGATCCTGACATCTGCATGCCCAATTACATTTTCAGCCAAAATCTAACTTCTTGGAGTGCCAGGTGGCTGTTTCTGAGGGCCTGACTCCTCAGCCTAGGCTCCTCTCCCTGGCACCATCCAGCTCAAATATCCCAGACAGACAGACTACTTCCTGTTCTGCCCAAATGAGAGTGACATGTAAAACACACAAGCTTTTGCTCCAGCACCATCTCGTGAAGATTCTCCATTGAGGATGGCAGTTTGGTGGAAAACAATCAATTTTTGCTGCAGAGGTATTTTGAGTCATATAAATTACTTTAAATGCTTATAGACTATCTTTACCAGAAATATCATTAAATGAAACTTTCTTCTGAATTATTGCATTTTTCCAGTCTGAGATTAAACCTGTCAGAGGTCCTGTAACTACTAGAGAAATCCTAATGAAGAATTCTTAGTATACAATTTCTTGTTTTATATTTGCAGTACATGTGGCTGATATTTGGAGGAGAGCCTAGAAACCCTACAATTATAATCAAGTTTATAAATTCTGTTCTCACTTAATTATAAATCCTGATTACATTTTCTCTGCCAGATTCCTGCCTAATGTTCCCATTTGATAATGAGCTCCATAAAAGCTACCCAGTTCGCATGATTTCATGTGATGTTTCCCCAGGTACCAATGTACTCTGGTTTGAAAAGATTACTCTGAGTCCATGCATCTGGAATTAAATTTCCTGAATCCTGTCTTCTCTGGAGTATTACAACGAAGTTCATGAAACTGGGTCACATCAGTATAAAAGAAATCTGACTTGACAAAACTAAGAATGAATTGCCATGCTCATTTCCTGAAACTGACAATACTTCCAAAGATTAAAAGATTCTCATAAACTTTCAGGGAATATGGGAGAATACAGAGCTGAATGATGACGTATAGATCTAGAACAGTGGTTCTCAACTTTCCTATTGCCACAACCCTTTAATATAGTTCCTCATGTTGTATTAACCCAACAATAAAATTATTTTTGTTGCTACATCATAACTGTTATTTTGCAATTATTATGAATTTTAATGTAAATTTCTGAGTTTTCCAATGGTTTTACGTATTCCCTGTTAAAGGGCCATTTCACACCTCCCCCACCCCCTGGGTCTGTGACTCACAGGTTGAGAACCACTGATCTAGAGCCACACAATTAACCTCTTGCCAGGATAATTTGATTAGAATTAGAGGCAAATGTTGACAACCTATTAAACATGACAGGTGTTTGTATAATGGGGATTTCTATCTTTTTGTAAAGGTTTCTCAAACACTGTTCTGGGATCTCTCATTGAAGTGAACAAGTCACATAGTAACATTAAATTCTAATAACAAATTTGGTTATGGTTCTATGAAAATGTATACATGCAATGCAATGTACAGAAGAATCACGATGTTTTTATCATTCAAGTTAAACAGAAACAGTTATGTAGATATATTTTACTACATACTTTATGGTTTAGTTTCAAAAGTCTTTCTCATGGTCAGTGACTTCATTTAGTTTAGAGTTTCTCTGAGTTCATTTCACACTCTATCAAGAATAAAGGGCAAAGAAGATAATCACTGGATGTAAAATTTATGAATTTTTGACTACACTTTTACAGCATGATGATTAATCTTCATTACAAACCTGGCTGGATTTAAAGTTGCATAGGAGAAACACACTTCCATTTGGTGTTTTGCGGCCATTTCCAGAGATGTTTAATCAAGAAGGAAAGATGCATTTTGGATGTCAGCAGCACTATGTCATATACTAGGGTCCCAGACTAAATAAAAAGAAAAATTAAGAGCTAAGACAGGATCATCTCTCAACTTTCTCTGTGGACATGATGTGGCCACCTGTCTCACAGTCCTGTCATTATGTGTTTTCTACCATGCACCAAAATAAAACATTCTTTCCTGACTAGATTTGGAAAGTATTTTATTACAGCAATCAGAAAAGCAATGACCATATGCAGAATACTCTTCTTAGCAGTTTTGAGTTGGTAAAAGTAAGGGGTTTAATTGCATTCCACTAAAGATGAAAATACTACAAATTATTCTACCACATTATCAAGGATCTTCAAAAAGGAGGATAAGCCAAAGCAAATGGAAATTGTAAATGAGCTATTCTTGTCTCAGGGCAAGTCAGCTAATTTTAATAATTAACAGACAGAGGTGAAGCATGTCTTGGAAACCATTTTTCATAGCAATTACAAGTCTCCAATCTTATTTGTTTTTCTTTCCGCAGGCATACTTACCTTCTGCTGCTTGCAACACAGAATCTAGTGTGATCTATAGCACCTACCCTAAAAAGGAAGGAATCACAAATTGAGAACAGACAAGTTCCTTTAAGAAAAAATGTAAAACAATGATAATTTCATATTTTATATGAAACTTTCTGGATTTTTATTTACACTACTTTTGATTAGTGTAATTAGTGTAACTGCCATGATAGCAGTTAAAATTTACATAGTAAATTCATATTCAAACTAAGAGAGGTTCTTAGACCCTGATTTATAAACCCAATTCTATGAGATGCTTCTAACACAATAGTCAGATTAACAAAAGCTTAATCTAAGAACATCTATTGCTGTTTATGACTTTAAGGATCAAAGACATGAGCATAAATTCAGCCACACTAAACCTCTTAGAAGAGAAAGTGGGAGGTACCCTTTAATCCATTGACACAGAAGACCACTTCCTGAACATAACACCAGTAGCACAGAAACTGAGATCAACAATCAATAAATGGGACCTCCTGAAACTGAGAAGCTTCTGTAAGGCAAAGGATACAGTCAACAAGACATAATGGCAGCCCACACAATGGGAAAAGATCTTCATTAACCCCACATCTGACAGAGGGCTGACTTTCAAAATATACAAAGGATTCAAGAAGCTAGTCACCAAAACACTGAATATTGCTATTAAAAAGTGGGGTAAAGAAGTAAACAGAGAATTCTCAACAGAGGAGTCTAAAATGGCTGAAAGACACTTAAGAAAGTGTTCAGTAGTCCTAGCTATCGGGGAAATGTAAATCAAAACAACTCTGAGATGCCATCTTACTCCTGTCAGAATGGCTAAAATCAAAAACACCAATGATAGTTTATGTTTGGGAGGATGTGGAGAAAGGGGAACACTCCTCCATGCAAACTCTTACAGCTACTTTGGAAATGAGTATGGCGATTTCTCATGAAAATGGGAATCAATCTACCTCAAGAACTAGCAATTCCACTCTTAGTCATATGCCCAAAGGATGTACATTCATAGCAGCATTATTTGTAATAGTCAGAACCTAAAAGCAACCAAGATGTCCCTCAACCAAAGAATGAATAATGTATATGTGGTATATTTGCACAATAGAGTAATATTCAGTGGAAAAAACTATAAAATCTTAAATTCACAAGCAAATGGATGAAATTAGAAGAAACCATCCTGAGTGTGGTAACCCAGACACAGAAAAAAAACATAGTATGTACTAACTCATAAATGTATATTAGACCTAGAGCAAAGGATAACCAGCTTACAATCCACCAACCCAGTGAGACTTAAGAAGGACCCTAAGAGAGATGTACATGTACCCCCAAAAGAGAAATGGGACAAGATCCCCTGAGTAAATTGGGAGCACTAGGAGAGGGGTAAGGGAGGCAGGAAAAGAAGAGGGGAGAATGGGAGGGAGGAGAACATGAGGGATCAGAAAGGTCAAGTTGGGGGAAGAAAAGAGATGGAGAGCAAGGAGAGAGATACCTTAATAGAGGCAGCCATTATGGATTTAATGAGAAATCTGGCACTAGAGAAATTTCCAGGGATCCACAAGGGTTATTCCCATCTAAGAATCTAAGCAATAATGGAGAGGCTACCTTAAATGCCCTTCCCCTATAATGAGATTGATGACTACCTTAAATGCCATAATGGAGCCTTCATCCTGTAGCAGATGGAAGCAAAAGTAGAGACTCACACCTAAGCACTGAGCTAAACTCCTGGAATCCAGTTGTAGAGAGGAAGGGGTGATGAGCAAAGGGGTCAAGACCATGATCGGGAGACCCACAGAAACAACTGACCTGAGCAAGTGGGAGCTCACAGACCCCAGTCTGATAGCTGGGGAGCCAACATAGGACCAAACCAGGCCCACTAAATGTGGGTGTCAGTTGGAGGTTCCTGGGCAGTCTATGGGGCCTCTGACAATAGAACCAGTATTTATCCCTAGTGCACAAATGGCCTTTGGAAGAGGGACACTCTCTTAGCCTAGATACACAGGAGAGGGCCTAGGTCCTGTCCCAAATGATGTGGCAGACTACGATGATCCCCCATGGGAGACTTCACCCTCCCTGAGGAGTGGAATTGGGGGGTGGGATGGGGGATGCTGAGGAGAATGGGAGGATGGGGAGGGAGAGAACTTGTATTGGTATGTAAAATAAGATTTTTTAATTTAAATTTTTAAAAGTACACATAAAGAGACACCAAAGAAACATGATTGTCTAATACATTGCCATGTTCCAATACTTCTTTGGAGGCATTCTTAGAAATTTTTGTGGAAAAAATTTAAATGAAAATTACCTGGAATTTCTGTTGTTTTTTTCCCTAAATCTGAAAACTATTAAAAATAGAGACTATATTGTCAATCATAGAAGAAATTGCCGCATCCATGATTTACACAGGGCCTTGCACTATATCATCTGTGTACATTTGAAAATCTGTTGTCTTCACAATGTGGAAATTTAAAACTTAAAATGATTTGTCCTTGAGTGTTGTCTGGAGTCAATCCCAAGTATCATATTTGCTTGCTTTGTGATTTGTTCAAGATACCTAACATTATATTTTTCTGTCTTCTTACTTGTCAGTATTGATATTAAGTTCTATAGATGTTGTACATTCTATGATGTAATGTCACCAATGGCATGTTTAACACCATGCTGAGAAATAGTGACAGATTTGCTAAGGGACAGAGATTAGTTCTTGAGGGCTTTGGGGAAGGAGATACGACTCAGTGCATCAAGACCTTTTCCACCAAGTCTGATAACCTGTGTTCAGTCCCTGGGAAAACATGGTAGAAAGAGAGAACCAACTATGGAAAATTCTCTGACCTCCATGTGTACCCTGGCATGTTTGCACACACATGCCCACATGCACATGTACATGTTCCTGTATGCCCACTTGCTGGAACACGCACACACATGCACACACACACACACACACATGCACACACACACACACACACAAATATAAATAAATAAATGTGATTCAATTTTTATATTTTTTTAGAACAAAAAACAGGAACTTCTGTAACTGAGTATCCTAGATTTGAGACATAGATGCATAACTTCCAATCTCATGGTTTCAGATTACTGAAGCCCAATGGGTTCAAGGTCTTTTTTGGAAGTTAGGATAATGAATATAAATCCTTCTGGGTAACTGTGGAATTAAATAATCATTGTATATAAAGCCCTGGTGATAATTTCATTGAATTCAAACAAAAATACTCTACTAAAAGTACTCCACTAGATTCCAATAGCTTTGTTAATTAATGAGTTCAATACATAATATTCTGTCCTATATATAAAATATATTTTTCCAAAGCTGAAGTTATTCCATAAAACTTTTGCCTTCTATTTATGATTTTGTGTGGGAAATCTCCTGCAACCATTCGCATGTCTTTTGATTATCCTGAGCCTGAATGAGTTTAGTTTAAACCTCAAATGAATCCACAAAATGAAATGCATTATTATAGAAAGGGGGGCACGGTATTCATCCACAGGTCAATAAACGTTAGTGAGCAGGCTGACCATGTACTGTTTCAGGGACATTTATCAGGATATAGTGACTGAGTGGATAAAATACACTGATCTGTGAATGCTTGGGAGAGTCACATGGTTGCCTGTAAGTGAAAGAGCTGAAACTCATGAGAGGACAAAGACACTCGGTGCTAGAAGGATGTCCCCAAGGACTCAAGAATAACACTCACTATCACAGCTCTTCCAAAAGTCATATGTTCTTATGCAACCTAAGCCCATTTCACTTCACAATATACCAGGTGCCAATCTATTCCCTCAGTCAGGCTTGAGATAAGAAACGAAAATGAATGCATGGCTGGAGGAATTTAATTATATTTTTCTAACCAGATGTAGTTGATCATGTCAGCCATGTTGGTATTGAGTAATTGCTTGTATAGCTTGTCTTTCTTCACAATTTTATTTCTTTTCATAATGAATGCTTAAGAAATGTACTGTTGCCTTCAGTACAGATGTTCCTCATTTTATGTACCACTGAGAAGTTGTGGGTAAATCAGATTTTTATAAATTGAATCACATTCCCATTAACTTTATCTTACCTTCTGCTTCTCAGTAGCTCTGGACAATTTATCTTTAAATTAGTCTCAGTTTTCCAGAGAAGAGTGACAGGTTGGAGGATATTTCCCAATGGGCTGGGATAAGAACAGACCCTCCATCACTAGGGCTTGTGGTGTTTCTTCACATTGACGTGTTATCAGAGCCCATTCACGGGAAAGATCTTCTTTGAACAGGAAACCAAAAGAAAAGTAAAGTACAATAAACGGAAAGAACAGTAGAGAAATGCCCTATTGGAGGAAGGGATTTGCCTCCATTTTAGAAGGTTGCACCCTAGGTATAACTTATTTGAGTAAAATTGTTTTTTCCGTGATGGACTCTACCAATTCCAAGCATTGAAGATCTTCTCATTAGATACACAGTCTGTTTAAGCAAAATGGCAAGCTCATTTTATTGACTCCATTAAAAAAATTAAGCCTGAAATAAAGAGATAAAAAAATAAAATTTTAAAAACATATCCCAAAGTAAAAGCCAGCAAAGCATGTGATAATCCATCAGGCGTGTGGTCCTTGGCTAATTGTGGTAGGTAACCCCTAAAAGAAACCAAGTGATAGTGTCCCAGTTGAACAACACAACTTTCATTTCTCTGATTGTCTGTTTCTTCAGAGTGCTGTGCTACAGCCTGGTGACTTGGAGAAGGGGTCTTGCAATGTGAAAGTGTTATCTTTATGTTATTCTACATGCTTTCCTCTTGTAGAACCTTCAATCCAGTGTTTTCTCGCTGAAGTGGAGCAATAACAATGTCAGAGTAAATGACTACCTCAACATGCTACTAGTTGTCTTTTGTGTGTCTTAAGTTTATATGAATAATAAAAAGAGTGATAATAGAGCTCACAATTACACTGAATTTTTCATCTTATATTTGTCCATACACAAGAAGTGGCATATGCAATAGGAATCCCACATCTACACATTTGTATTTGCAATTTGTGTGAACATTTCTGTGTCAATCTTTGCAGTTTCAATT